AACTCAAACATCTTTTTTGTTAGAAGGAGGAGGTGCATAACAGGGTAAGCTGAAGTTGCTTGTATGGATTCCTTGAAGCCTGGCATTGACAGAGTTTGGCATATCTTAGTGTGTACTAGGCAACTATACCATGCATGCTGGCCTTGGAATAGAAACAAGTACTTAGGCACTAAGGTAGTACACAGAGGGGACAACATTTAGGAGATGAAGATGGAGGTTGACCACATGTCCAACAAGGAGTCAGATGTCTTTGAACAGCAGTTGAATATCAATTGATATATTTTCATCATCTTTACCATTGGAAGGACTGTTTCCTTTAAAACTATCAACCTCATTCCCCTATTGTATCCCCGCTGCCATAAATGGAAAGCAATAACTACTATTAGTAATCATTTTTTATTATAAATGCTCAGTGCTGTTCCAGTGATAGGAGCTCTGGTGGCATAGTGCCTAAGGCAGTTGATCACTAACCAGAAGGCTGGTAGTTCAAATCCACCAGCCACTCCTTGGAGGGAAGACTAGGCAATCTATTTCCGTATTGATACTGCCTTGGAAACCCAAGGAAGGGTTGCTATGAGCTAGATCCGATCTGACTCAACAGCAGTGAGTTTTGTCTTTGGTTTGGTTTAAGTGATAATATCAAGGGACCTCTGAATTACTGTGATAAAATCCTGGGAGGCAACTGGCTATTAAAAACAATAATCTTGATTCATCTGTGCTGATTCAGGTAAGATATAAGTTTAGACTTAGGGTTTCACCAAGTGACTAGAAGGTAAGATAAAATTTTTGATTTATGGTTTCATCAAGTAGCTGGAAGGTGCATATCTCACAAATCCAAGATGAGTTATACCATTTTGTCTAGGTGTATCTTAGGCTGCAAGTAAAAAAAAAAAAAAAAGCACTTCATCATCACTTTTGCAACATTGGAAAACAAAGCATCATATTATATGTTCCACTTTTAAAAAATGTAACTATAAATAATGAAACTGATATATCCCTAATACTTCATACGCAGTGATTAGAAATATGAAGCACCAACTTGGTTTTTATAAAATTCTATTTCAGGCACTCTTTATGGAGTAACATCTTGTCAACAGCTACTAATTTTAATTCTGATCTCTCAGAGAGTAGTGTATTTTACTGTGCTACTCATAAACTATTTTAAATATCACAAGGCAATCTTCTCATTTAACTGCTACTCTATAGAAAATGGGATGTGGGCAAATCCAAGTCCCGTATTTTACAATAAAAAAACCTTACAATTAAATAAATAATGGTTTTCTAGCTCATTCTCAAATTTCTGAAAAGCAGCAGGTTGCTCTTATTTTATAAAAAAAACATATAAATTATGAATAAGAGTTGAAAAAGGAGGAAGGATTTATATTAACCTGTCTTCCTGAGGAGAAGTCCTGATTTGGGGCAATCCCATTAAAAGCTACTCAGAACTCACCAACATGCATAAGGGAAGAACACACTGTACAACTGCTGTAAATTCCTATTAAAAAAAGCAAAATGTCCATGATGGAAATCTGAGCACCCAGCTAGTGTGCCTCTCTGCCTGGTAGAGGATAAGACTCCACTGGACAAGTGCTGGTAAATAAGAATCTGTCATAATCATCATAAAAGAAAAAAAAAATAAAACCAGCAACAACTTCAAAAAAAACAACCTCACTGACACCTAGTTGTTTCTGACTCATAGGAGTCATTTCTGACTCATAGAGACCCCTCCTTAGGTTTCCAAGGCAGTATCACTACAGAAGTAGACTGCCCAATCTTCCTTCTGAGCAGTGGCTGGTGGGTTTGAACCTCCAGCCTTCTGTTAGCAGTCAAATGCCTTACGCACTACGCCATCAGAGCTCCCACAACCATCATAATGTTTCAAATTATTTTTAAGAAAAGAGTTTTATTGATTAGCAGATAAAAAAAGATGTAGGTTTTTTCCACCAATATGCAGCTCACTTGAGATAATACAATGATCATGCCTAGGTCTTTTCTCATACTATTTTTTTAGAGGGTGGGGGAATATTTATACAAATCCGTGATGTGAGTCAAATTAAACTGTATTTCCTAGAGAATTAACCAAAGGGGGTAAAATTAAATGTGCTCATACATATTGTCACCTTGTTAATTTATCTAACAGGAGAAACTTGATAGTTTCTATCATCAACATCATATTAATAATCAGCACCAGAGACATTTCTTTTACATTATTTACAGTCTCTGCCTGGAGTCAAGCTACTTTCTGCCACTCACCCCCAGGCCATATCAAATTCCACTATGATCACTTGTGATAAAATAAGCCCTGTAGGTCAGCACAAGGTGAATCCATTCTTTGGTCTTTTGCTCTGATTTAGCTTAAGGATATAGAAATACATTAAACAGAGAATTGAAGATAAGCCAGAATTGTGTCTTCTCTTAGTTGTGTCTTGTTTTGTTACCTCATCTCAAAACTAGAAACAGAAAATGAGTCTTGGAAAAGTGAACATAATAGAACCATGCCCGTTGTTCCACAACAGGAGAAAAGTGATGACATGAGACAGGACGAATAAAGAGACTCTTTGAAACAAGTCTTATATTTAACTCAATGAAGGTGTAAAGAGAAAACATTCCTAGGAATAGGCAGAAATCATTATACCTCAAGAGCAACAGGAGGGAAATCGACACAGCATAATTACAAAATAATTAGAAATGCTTTAGAAAGAGGTCTAGATATCAAAAACAGTTCCATAGTTTAACATTTTTTATAGCAGAAAAAACACTATTATTTAGTCCTCCACAAAAATACTAAAATTTCCAGAGCATAGAAATTGAATTAAATAGCATGGATGTAGTAAAAAATACATTGCCCGGTGGGACAAGAACAATGTACCATGAACAATGTAAGGCCGGTGGAGCCCTGTAACGGGAGGATTTCATACTGTTGCCAATACCATGTGGAGTGTCTGGATATTAGAAATTTATGTATGAGACAGGAAAAGAATGAGTTTTCTTATAATAAATGCGTTTAAACTACATTTAAAGCATTGACCACCAGCAGAAAAAGAAATAGATTGTTGTTGTAGTAGTAAGAAAAATGAAAACTGATGGGAAGAATGTCAATTCTCTTTAAAAGAAATGTTCAGAAAATTATCCTGTCATTTTACCTGTAGGAAGTGTTGATGTTTTATTATTTAATTTTTGTGCTTCACATTCAACATGGTCTTTTTATTTCAAGTTTACTACTGAATAATTATTAAAATTAATGATTAAAAATTTAAGCACTGTAATGTCAATATTAGGAGTCTTTATATTTGATCCAGTAAGTATATACATATTAATGATTTCACTTGTAAATAATGTTAAGCCTAGTCAGATTACTTTAGTGGTCTACTTCTTTAATTATCATTAAAATATGTCTTGATAGTTAGGAAGATGAATATGTATATACCCATAACTGAATATAATAATGTGTATTACATACTACATTTAATCTTTCCCATTAACCCTGACTTTAAAAAACAACCAAACGCAATGTGTTTATCATTAGAGATGACTGAAATACAAAGAAAAATAATTTATAAAGCTTATTTTCCCAAAGACATTCAGTCTTAATCTTTTGGTGTATTTTGGAGTATTTTTTTTAGCCAGACTTAGTTTAGTGGCAATTGTTACAAATGTAGAGTACAAACAAAAATTCTAATCAGAGTGTTATTAAGATTTATATAAAGAAGCTCTGATGGCATGCTGGTTAAAGCATTGGGCTGCTAACCACAAGGTCAGTTGTTTGAACCCACCAGCTGTTCTGCAGGAGAAAGATGAATCAGTTTGCTTCTGTAAAGATTTACAGCCTTAGAAACCCTATAGATAAATTCTACTCTGTCCTATACGGTTGCATGAGCTGTAATCGATTTGATGATAGTGGATTCAGTTTGGTTTGGTTTAAGATTTATGTACACACATGATGTTAAAAATAAAAAAAAAAATTGACATGTATTAATTTAAAATTGGCAAATGTTGAAAGGAAAGGTCTTAGAATATTTTACATTTTTATTTGTTAAAAAGAATTATGACAACTAATATAAATTCGCTTAAAGAAGAGAACACCATAGTATTACTCTTCCTCCACTAATTTATAAATAACTTATTTGGGGTTACAATTCACTTAAAATGCAAGAATTTTATTTAATTACTGATATTTGATGCACTTTAGATATGGGATTACTGAATTCAGAAACATTAAAAAAAAAAGTGAGCTGATTGCTCTCAATTTATTGTCCATGTGTGTAAAAAATAAGTTTATTTTTGTTGCTTCTAGATTTTATAGTCCAAGAAAAAGTTACAAAGAAGTATACCCATGGATTTCTGTAAGAGCTGAGAAAACAAAACAAGTGGTAGTAATTCAAGGCATAAAGTATTATCCAGCCCATTACAAATTCAGGTGGCGTCTACAAATAATAATAATAATATACTCAGATCTTTAACCTGTCACAAAGGCCATGCCAACTTTAGGCAAAACGGCAAACCCTGAGACAAAAAAATAAATAAATAAAAATAAACTATGCGAGCTCTGGTAGCATAGTGGCTAAAGCACTTGACTGCTAACCAGAAGGCTGGCGGTTCAAACCCACCAGTCACTCCTTGGAAGGAGGGTTGGGCAATCCCACTTCCATAGTGATACTGCCTCGGAAACCCAAGGAGGAGTCGCTATGAGTCGGGGCCGACTCGACGGCACATAACAACAACATGCCTTCAGGAGCTTTGTTGGAGGTCTTCAGTGAACTGACTAAACCATGCTGAGGATTTTCTCAGCTGTTCTTGGCTCAGCAGGATGGAGACAAGAACAGCAGGTGAACAGCAGAAGGTAGAGAGTGTCAGAGGGAATGAAGAGTAGCACTAGCTATTGTAAAAAACAAACAAAAAACAAACAAACAAAAACAAACAAAATCCAGTCTTTGTCGTTGGAAATGAGACAGAAGTGGAACCAAGTTCCTCAGAGCTAGTAGTTAAGTTAGTATACGTACAAACACACTCCATGCCCTCCCGTGCATGCCAGTGCTTGCAGCCGTCACACTTCTGCCCTGTGGCTCCTGGTCGGCACGTGCAGAGCCCTGTGACAGGGTCACAAGGGACAGGAAGTGAGCCATAGGGGTCACACTCACATTCTTGGCAGGAACCTCCTGGGCTGCTTGGACTACCAGTATAGCCAGGGGCACACCTGTATTGAAACAGCAACAAAACAAATGAGGTTAATGACGAAGCACATCTCTAAATTGTGTGTTCTGTTTTGAAGGAAATAAAACTGGTATCAAGAGTCTATAGGTTAAGGGTCAGCAAACGTTTTTCTTGAAAGGCTACATAATAAATATTTTAATCTTTGCAGGTATTTATATAACAGGAGAGAAAGCAAATTTTCATGTAGTTTTTTATTGATGGAATTCAACGTATAATAATAATAATGATTGAGTATAAACTATTTTTTAATGACAACCTACTAATGAGAAGAGAAAAATTGCTTTTTGAGGTATAAAATTTTACTTAATTGAAGAGCAAATTTAGGGTTTCTTATCATCAAATTGATTGTAAATATTCATTTGTAACAAATCTTTTAGGTTGAGTGCCATATGGGCACTCGGACAATGACCAAATTTGACTCACAATCCATAGTTTGCCCACCACTGCTTTGGATCATAAATTTTTCTTTAAAGTACTCTTTTCTTTTTCTTCTTCCTCTTCATTAGCAGTAAATGAAATTATGCACTGACCCCTGGACTTTCTTAAATTCATGTATTTTTTTAGATCAAAATGATTAAATAACACAAACCATTAATTTTATAAATGAGCAAAAGAACCAATAAGATAGTCAGATTTCCCAACTCATGATAAAAGTCTTTCCTTTCTACCACATCCTCTTCAAGATGGATTTTTCATTTCATATCTTTGGGAGAGAGTTGTTGTTGTTGTTAAGTGCCATCGAGTCATTTCTGACTCATAGCGACCCCATGCACAGTAGAACAAAACACTGCCCGATCCCACGCCAGCTCCACGATCCCTACTATACTTGAGCCCATCATCGCAGCCACTGTGTCAGTCCATCTCGTTGAAGGCCTCTCCCTCTTTCGTCGACCCTCCACCCTACCAAGCCTGGCATTCTCCAAGGAATGGTCCCTTCTGACAACATGACCAAAATAGGTGAGACAAAGTCTGGCCATTCTCACTCCCAAGGAGCATTTCGGGTGCACTTCCTCCAGGACAGATCTGTTAGTTCTTTTAGCAGTCCATGGTACTTTCATCATTCTTCGCCAGCACCACAACTCAAAAGCATCAACTCTTCTTTTGTCTTCCTTATTCATTGTCCAGCTCTCACATGCATACGAGGCAATTGGAAATATCATGGCTTGTGTCAGGTGCACCTTAGTCCTCAAGGAGACATCCTTGCTCCTCAGCACTTGAAACATTCCTTTGCGGTTGACTTTCCCAATGCTACATGTTGTCTAATGTCCTGACTGCTGCTTCCATTGGCATCGATTGTAGAACCAAGCAATGTGAATTCTTTGACATTCTCAATCTTCTCTCCATTTATTGTGATGCTGCTCATTGGTTCAGTTGTGAGGATTTTTTTTTTTTTTTATATATTGAGACGTAATCCATACTGCAAACTTCAACGTTCATCAGTAAGTGCCTCAAGTCATCCTCACTTTCAGCAAGCCAAAGTTGTATCGTCTGAGTATCTCAGGTTGTTAATGATTCTTCCTTCAATCCTGATGCCACGTTTTTCTTCATATAGTCCAGCTTATGGGAGAGAGTTAATGTTATGCAAATAAATTATTATGACATCAATTTGAGAAACTAGAAAGGAAATTCAACTAACTGAAAATGCAGTCTACTCATCTGTTCATCCATCCATCCATGGATGTTTCATCTAACACTATAGCATGTTATGATAATGGAAGTATCATAATTTACAAGATGCTAACTAGGCCATATATTCTAATTTTCCTAGGACATTCCCAGTTTACTGTTATTCTGGCTTAATTAATAAAAATAAACCAAAAAAAGCCAAACTCCCTATCATCGAGTCCATTCCAACTCATAGCAACCCCCGCCTCAGCTTTCTTCCACAGAGCAGCTGGTAGGTTCGAACCACCAACCTTTTGGTTAGTAGCCAAATGCCTTAACCATTATATGACCAGAGCTCCTTCATTAAAAAAAAAAAAAAATCCTACAATACTACTGTGGTAGTGCACTATGTGTGTCAACTTGGCTGGACCTGGCTGAATGGCTGGGCAGCTGAATATACGATTCCCCATGATGATACTGGTAATCAACTCTATGATGGAATCTACTGTGAGCAGCTGAGTAGCTGCCTTAGCAGTGTAGTCTGCTTCCTGTATATAAGTAGAAGCCTTGGGGAACAGCATCTAGCTTATGGCACATTTGGACCGTGCATGTAGCTCTGCCATTGTTCAGCAGCCTGCCATGCTCTGCTGACCTTGGGACTTAAAATGGATTTTAATTAATGGCCTGCCATTTGGTTTGGTAATATCAGGACTGTGCCATTTTATTTGTCGACCTTGGGCTTGTTAGCCTCAGCAGCCACCAGCTGCCTGAGTGAAGAGATGCCTCTAGCTTCAGTGGGCCAGGAGCAAGAGGCAGAGCTGAAGCCCAAGGTCGAGGGGCTTTCACACAGCCCCTAGAGCCTAGCACTTTGAACTTGAACTTAAAGCCTCCAAATTGTGAGAGAATAAACTCCTGTTTATTAAGGCAATCCCATTTGTGGTATATTCTTGTGAGAGCGGCACTAGGTATCCAGAACAACTACCCAAAGCAATCTACAGATATAATGCAATCCTGATCCAGATTTCATCATCATTCTTTAAAGAGATGGAAAATCTAATTACCAACTCTACATAGAAAGGAAAGAGATCCCAGATAAGCAAAATAATACTAAAGAAGAACAACAAAGTAGGTGGCCTCACACTCCTTGATCTCAAAACCTACAGCTACAGTAGTCAAAACCACTTGGTATTTGTACAATGACAGACATATACACTAATAGAAAAGAATTGAGAACCCAAGAAGTAAATCCATCCACCTATGGACAGCTAATCTTTGACAAAGGATTGAAACCCGTTACATGGAAGGCTTTTCACCAAATGATGCTGGCAAAATTGGACATTCTTTTGCAGAAAAATGAAACAGTTTCCATATCTCACACCTTATACAAAAACTAACTCCAGATGGATCAAATACCTAAATGTAAAACCCCAAACCATAAAGTTTATCAAAGATAAAATAGAGGCAAACTTAAGGCATGGCGTAAATACACTATCAAACAGAACTAAAAACATGTAACAGCAGACAACAAGCTAGAGGACTTGGACTTCCTAAAAATTAAACATTTGTGTGCATTAAAAGACTT